CTTACATACATGTGCACACACATGCACACAGAGAGAGAGAGAGAGAGAGAGAGACATTATTACTTATTATAAATAGATATATATTCTCCCAACAAAACACAATTCTTCTCAAATCAAGTTCAGAAAAAGATGTTAAAAAATTGAAAAACTTTTTCAAATACTTCTTCATGTTTATTATTTTTATCCTTTTAATATATCGAGTGAATGTGAGTGTGTGTATCATACATCAAAAATATATAAACATAAAGAAATAAAAATAGCAGAGTAAAAGCTCTTGTGCTAAAATTAAAGTAAAGCAAAAATAAGCGATTATCAATTAAGTTATAAGAATACAAGTAAATAACAATCTGATATTGAGATAATAAATATTGAAAATTGTAATGAAAAAATTATAATATACGACTATATAATATATGTATATATAAAAATGTTATTTTTATTACTTTTCATTACACACAAATTTATTTAAGAATGTATGCTCCTTTTATCAAAAGTTTTCGAGTTATACTTATATATAATATGTATATATATACCTTTAATCACGTTTTAAAATACACAAATTTTTACAAACAATGTAATTAGCATGTAAATATAGCACACAATTTTTCGTTTAATGCAATTTTATCTGATAATTGTAAAATAGAATACAAACTTTATAAACTTTTCTTGAAGTCTAGCAATATGTTAGCATGTTGTGTGATTACACAATATAAAAATATAAATCATACACACGCACATTCAATTTTTTTTTATGCTTCGACAACTTGACGTAATTTTTTGATATGAAATACCGCAATTATCGTGCTTGCTTTAAAAACTATTTGTTTCGCGTTTATGCAACGAATGCATCATTAGAAAGCTTTCTCGCCAAAAGTAAAGGTAAGAGCACTTGAACGAAAAAGCCGATACTATCTTAACGAATGAAAATCTGACGAGTACTATCGAAGATGTGGGTGGATTACTTTTGGGAATCTGGGTTTTTGCACCGATTACTCCATTTTCGTATCGCGTGGGTGTGCAACATCGATCAACGACCGAGGTTAAAGAACTAAAAGCATGGCAAACTTAAACCATCGAAGTTCAGCTCTGACCGATTTTTTTTTATTTATATGATAAATTAAAAAGAATTAAAAAATTTTTAATATAAATTTTAAATATAATAAATTTTTTTTAAATTTAAATCCAATTATATATAAACAAGCAAAATATTTTTAATGATTATAATATTGTGAGTGTGAAAAATTGTAATATTCCAAAATTAATAGATAGAGTAAATAGATAGAAAGTGTATGTTATAATATATTGATTTTTTTATAAGTAAAATATATAAAATAGCAGTATCATGTTTTTAAAATAAATTGACTAATTTTAATATGATTTATGGCCATTATATATTTATCTATCGATTTTAAGATGTATTACATGTACGTGATATATGTTATATCAATACATAAATAAATTAATAGTAATACACCCCAGTGACTATAAATGCGTAAATTTCGCAAACAATATTCTCCAATTAAATATCAACGAGATAAATCCCAAAATAGATTTTTGCAATAATACTTTACAGGGATTATTACAGAGATCAAGTATCCTATAGAAACGAAATTTATACGCCATGCTAAAGCATTTAATTTAAATGACCAATTTTTTTCTTTCGTGAAAAATTTCTTCAATGTATTTTATTTATTTTTGTTTTTTTTTTCACAAATCCGTATTTCTCTGCGTCTCGCATACACTGCACAATCGACTACGAAATAACTTATTCTCGGTTCGTCGCCTCCACGGCCATTAAATTATCCTTATACATCGTGCCTTTTATCCTCAGCACACTACATCTCCTATGAAGGACAGAAGATATATCGCGTTGCTTTATAGGTAAAGCCAGTAAAGTATGTATCTGTGTAAAGCCAAAACCAAAGATATTTCTTTGATACGCGTCTCACAATCAGTTAAAAAGAAACAATGTTTCTTGCAATAGCTCTGCATATGTATATGCATACTATATATATATACGTTTATTAGCGAATTTCTCACAAACTCGATTGATTTAGATCGATTTTTTTTTCTAGTTAAAACTATGAAAAGACATAAAATTCCAATTTTTACATTAATTATTTATTTTTATAATTATCTAGTTACAAATCTGTTAGTTTATGTGTTTATTTGTTTGAAATTAAATTAAAAGAATAACATTTTATGTATAAAGCTTATATTTTCTACAGATTATTATTTATTTCTAGGTTTATTCTTCGATTTCAAATTTTATAAATATTATTTGTATTCGGGGAAAAAAAGAGATAAAGGAGAATTATTTTTATCAAGAAAAACTCTCGGAAAAACTGAAATCCTTAGATTGGAAAATTGTGATCAATATATATAAATGTATAAGCTCGATCCTGAAATTAATAACAATCTCTTTATTTCCTTTTATCTATGAATTAGTTCCACGCTAATAAAATGTTTGAAAAGTTAATAGCTGTTCTATTATAGAATTATAATCAAATCAAAAATAAATGTGAAAAAATATTTTTATACTCATTGAAATAAATAAGCTTTTTACTAACACATATATATAAACTTCTACAAAACATTTAAACTGTATAAACTCTCTGTCTAGCTCATAATTCTGCAAATACGTCACTGTAAAATTCTTTATAAAATGGAATCAAATAAAAAAATGTATTAAATTTTGTAATATTATTTGTGTGTCACATTTGATTAATTCTTATTTGGATTGAATTATTTGAGCAACTTATTTAATATTTAGTATATATTTATCGTGAAAATGATTTCTTTTCTTGTCTCTTTTCTTATCTTTAACATCATAAATCAAATTAAGATATGTACTTTAAATTAGATTTACATTATTATTTTAAATTAGATTTTAAAATCGTCACACGGTAATCTATATAAATAGAATCTGGTTTTATGAGTATGTGAACAGTCCAACTTGATATTGACAACACAAATTAATCAATATGCCATATTAATAACATAATACAAAACAATTGTTTTGAACTAACACCTTTTAATTGCGGGATCATGTTATCTCGCGATTAATTTTATTCGACAACAAAAAGCAACGGAAGGGAATGCAGATAAAGCAACGCAGTTGATTCAATGAATTAATGACGCTTTAGCAGACACCTTGCTAACGAGAACCTATTGTTCGCGATTTCAAAAGAATCCTCCAATGGCCATCCTGTTATCGAGAGGACCGATTTGTTAAAAAAGCTAAAAGAGGATGTATAAGAGAAAACAGGAGAATTTGTTGTTTACCTTTTTCCGTTCGTTAAACAATATTTCCTCGATACTATATTAATTGATACACATGTAAATCACACATGCATACATGCATATAAATACATCAAAGAAAAGAAAAATACTTAAATATATAAATTTGCAAGGTGCGTTATTATCATCATCGTCATTATTATTATTAGTATTATTATTATAAAAGTAAAGCGCGCAGGTGTCAGTTATATGAAATATTATCGCGGATCGCGCGTTACTGATATACAACAAATAAAAAGTTATAAAAATATGAATGTGTGCATATTTATTAACATATTATTAAAAAATTATTTCGAAAATTTTTCGTATAGATCTATTTTTCTTTGTAAAAAAGAAAAAAATAACTTACTCCAATTTCAATTAATTTATCAATTGCTAATCAATAAACATCAATTACCTTTCACATAAATATCATGCGAATTTTGTAATGTACAAAATTATAATATTTTTTTACCAAATATTATCTCAAGTTTTGTAAGCTATAAACATACTCTGTTAGTTATTATACAGCTTCTAGAAAAATAGATTCATCACAAAAGCTTTTTAGATAAAAAATTATTAATAAAATTGCATTTAAACTTTATAATTTTTCTACAATCAAAATATAAGATATAATATACATATATATGTATAGAAAATAAATATCAAATGTTTTCAATGCAAACTAGACAAAAATGTGTCCACGACTTAAATTTTATCTCTGTCTCTCTCTCTCTCTCTGTTTCTTATCTTATTATATCATTGTCATTATACATGTGTCTGTCTGTCTGTTCATTTGTGTGTGCGTGTATTGCGAATACATTTTTAGATACAAGTTTCCCGTGTAATATCGCGAATGATAGCGGAGCAAGAGTTGAGCAAATGATAAATCATAGAAATCTTCGATCGAGAATACGTGCTCGAAAGCGCCCCGATTATTGCGAATTCATAAGCGGATTTGTGTGTCGCGATTACTGAAAATGCGTTTGTAAATGTACCACGGAGCGGTGCTAAGCGCCTTATCTACGACTAGCAGCGATGTCGTATAATCCGCGCCGAATTTCGCCGACTGTTCTGTAGAGTGAAGCAATGTTATAACATAATACAGCTTACATCATACCCAATTATCGATAGATTTTTATCCTAAATTTCCAATACTTTAAAATTTAAATATTAAAAATATCAATAAAATTTTATTTAATATCGTCAGTATATATAAGATTCTTGCCTCTTTAAATTAATATATATTAATCTTATACAAATAATAATATTATTATATAATCGTACATAAAATATAAATAATGTTGATAAATAATATTATATAACACCACAAAATAAATAAGAATGTACTACCTTAATAAATTATATTAATAATATAGGTACCTATTGTGTGTTTGTTTAAATGTATTTTGTAAGAAAGGAAATTTTTAAATATACTTATAAGAATATTATTTCTTCCTTAAAATGTTTAATTTTTAAATATTTGACATAAGCAAAATTTAATTAAAAAATAAACAATTTATCTTCTCTTCATCAAGCTTTAAAATACTCAAAGATCTATACATATATATATAATTTTAAACATTAAAGGAAAAGAGTGTTAAATAATATTTTCCTTTTCGACAATAATGAGAGAACTACAGATTTGAAACGGCAAGTGCACGCTTCATATTATATGTATATATATATATATACATATATATTTATACACAGTTACTCACCGGCTATCGAACGAGCGATGTGACAGCGCAGCAGGTAGGCAACGACGAGTAACATCCGCGGGAGTCTCATCGTTTCGGAGGCTGTGAGATTCGGTGTACCGGTCTATCGGGCCAAAACACACGTGAACGTCGCGTCGCGGCGGCTTACCGCGACCACCGCGAAAGGAGAATATCGGCGCGTTCCTCGTCTTATGCCTTATTTTACGTCGACATTGATAAAAGCCTTTGAGACGCGTGACGGTTTGTGACTGCCGTTGCGAAAGGAGTAGCTTTCACCCGGATTTTACCCTATAGATAAGCGCGGCCGCCAGCGCAGCCACTGACACTAACCGCAACGTTCAACATCCTCGCGCCGCGCACGTCAGAATCGGACTGAAAGCGACCAATCGCTGTCAATCGTCGCGGCGAGCCTCGCACGGCCACGCATGCGCGAGTCACATGCCGAGTGCGCATGACGAACTTATCGCTTGCCGTTTCCACTTCATTACGTCTTCGCTTCTACTAGACTGCACCTGTTCGAAACAGATTTTTCATCAAACACGCGTACATTTGTATATAACAAGCTTTTGAAATTAAGACAAAAATGTTGAAGCTATAGTATCAGATTATATGTATTCACGATGATACTTTTTCATTCGTGAATAATATGGACGGAAGATTCGTAAAATTCAATCAGATTTCTTTATTATATACTATTCACGAATATTCACATAGTTAAGCGCTAATTTTACTTTATATCTCTTTTTAATTTGAGAAATTTCTCTCTCTTTCTGAAGAGAAAGAATTATATTAATTGTGAGAGATATATATTAATTATTTAACAATAATTTTTCTCAAGCCTTTAAAATTATTTTGATCATATATGTATACAATATATATACATATTGTAATTTGTACTCTTAAATGGAAACAATCTAATAATTCTTTTTCCCCTCACGCGCACACACACACACACACACACACACACACGCATAAATTGATTGTTTTATGAGAGAGCGTATATTATATTATTTGTATCAAAAAAACTTAAATAATTTATTTATAAGAAACGTAAGTTGCTTCCTGCTAATCACGTTGAAACATATGCTATCAATGTACAAAAAAAGATGCCGCTGCCGAAACCCGGGATTGAACCGGGGACATTTAGATCTTCAGTCTAACGCTCTCCCAACTGAGCTATTTCGGCTTATGCTAGGGATAATCGTTAACACTCTAAAGTTCTGTTTTGACAATTAAAATAATTATATATAAATATATAAATTATACATGTATATGTATATTTTTGTGTTTCTTTTTCGATAACATCTTTCGTAGAATAATATAATGCTGAAACTATTTATTAACATATATTGCGTTTATGTAAAATATAAAATTATATTTGAATATTATATATATATCATATTCGATTTTTTATTATTTATAAAAAATATGGATACATAAAAAGAAAAATTATTATATGATAAAGATAGATAATATAGAATGAAATTTTTATTGATTTTCTGGAACGAATAATTTTATTTATATCCGCATTATACATTTTGCATTCGAAATTCTCTTTGATATTTCTATCTTCCACATCCTTCGATTAATTACAAATTAATAGTGAATGCACGTTACAAAAACGTACAATCTATGAAATGTAATTTAAGGTTATACTTATATAGGAACGGAAAAGAGGGAGAACTATTTAATTCATGGTCGCAATTCAAGGAGATGAGATCGTCTAAAGGAAATACAAGCAAGAAATATATATATATATATATATATATATATATATCAAACTTTTATATATATTAGAAAAGAAAAAGCAAAATGTATTCGTTGTATCAATGATAAAAAAAAAATATATATATATATATATATATATATATATATATATATATATATATATGTTGTAATAACAAATAAATAAATATGTATATATATTTCCAAAAAAGGATTTAGAACGGGAGAGCTCTACTCACGTACCTCTTATTTCTCGCACAAATATAATGATGACGGTGCTTGGAGAAAAAGAAAGAATAGAAATGAAAATGCAGACGCAAAGAAAAGAAAAGAAAAAGACAAAGAAATACGAGGACAACACAATAAGGAGGAACGAGGTCGCGCACGTGCGGCGCTCTTCCTGTCACGAGCATTCTGAACTTACCGGTACCGGTACGTGGCGATCGGTACAGTCGACGCCGCGACCGTCAGTCGAGCCAGTCGAGCTTCGTACGCTTACTACGGCGGTTCGTGGCAGGTCCAATAGTCGAGTGAGCGTGTGCGGAGAAATAAAGTCGCGGTGTCGCTCGAGACTTTTCGCTCTTCGTACAAACGTCAAACGTCACACAACGAGTCAAGTACCTGTGTCGTGGACGAACGCGCGGCGTCGACGACGGTGAGAAGTAAGTAAGGAAGAAACGATAACACGATGGCAAATCTACGACAAACACCTCTAACGTGTAGCGGACACACGAGGCCCGTGGTTCATCTCGCCTTTTCCGATGTCACCGAGTCCGGATATTATCTCATTTCAGCGTGCAAAGGTAATGTAAGATCGTGTGGGATAAGGCTGTCCTCTCGTACCTTGTGATTTTTTTCTTTCGATCGCATGTTCGATTCTCGATCACCTTGGCCCACTTCTTTCCGGCCGATCCAAGGCTCCGCAACTTCGAGGTTAGATGTCGCGTGCTCTTTTTATCATGTGTTTGTGCTCTCTTCCTATCCTTATTTATTTATCTCTTTGCCCAAGCAATTCGAAGGGATTTTACATATATTTCAAGATCAAATTGCGCGCATACAAGATTACCTGTTACTGTAAACATATTACATCATCGATAGAATGTATTTGATGACGATTATAATTTAATGAGATTGACCAAAAGGTTTCCCTTTATGTAACTTATTACACAAACAAATCATATGTAACTACAAAATGAAAAAGAAAAATAACAAATTAAGATTAGTTAAAAAAGTTAAAAAAAAATTCTTTTTTTGATATTTACGAAATTTGTTTTTCTCGGATATTAAATTATTAAGACATAAATAGATAGTAACATAATTGTGTGTGTATATACATAACAAATTATATTTCTAAATCTACTTGAAAATATATTGATTTGGAAATATTTTTTCTCACATGTTTATATATATTTTGTGTAATAAATATTACTTAATATAATTTATTTATTATAAATAAATTACTTTCGTACACACATATATATTTGTATTTTTATTGTGTGTGTGTGTGTATAGATATATAAATACATAAAATGAAATATTTTTGAGCAATAATTTCTTACAGATGGTAAACCTATGTTGCGACAAGGGGATACTGGAGATTGGATTGGTACATTTGAAGGACACAAAGGGGCAGTATGGGGTGTAGCGTTAAATCCACAAGCTACTCGAGCTGCAACCGGTGCAGCTGATTTCAATGCTAAAGTTTGGGATGCGATTAAGGGAGAAGAAATTCATTCTTTTCAGCACAAACATATAGTCAAATCAGTCAACTTTAGTACAGACTCCAATTATCTATGTACTGGCTCTAATGAAAAGATTGTGCGCATTTATGATCTTAATAAACCAGAAGCAACTCCACAAGTAAATAAAGTTGTATAAACTAATAACAATGAATTAAAATTATTAATATTAAAACACCTGAAGTAATATATATATTTTTTTTTATAGATTTTTTCAGGTCACGCAAATGGCATTAGACATGTCACGTTCTTTGATAATAACTCTGCCTTGATTACTTGTGCGGATGATAAAACATTGAGAGTGTGGGACAGAAATAGTGGACAGGAGATTAAGAGATTAGATTTTCCTGCGATTCCAAATTCCATGGAGGTATCCAAAGATGGAAGCATCATTACTACAACTCACTCTAATATCGTTACTTTCTGGAATAGTAAAGAGTATGTACATTTTCTTTTATTGTACAAACAATATTAAATTATTTATTGTTATCTATTGACGTAAAGAAAATTAATGATACATTTTCACATAATATGGAAATACAATTTTATTAAGTTTTGAATTTATTAAATTTAGATTAACCAAGATAAAAGAATTTACGGTTCCAACTCAAGTCAATAGTGCCAGCTTACATCCAGATTGTAGTATGTTTGTTTGCGGTGGGGAAGACTTTAAAATGTATAAGTTTGACTACAGCACAGGAGCAGAACTAGGTGAGATTTGTCATGTTTTGAAATCCTTTTTAATAAAATGTGTGCGTGTAATGTATATAATAAAATTTGTGTTTTTAGAATCATTCAAAGGACATTTTGGACCTGTACACTGCGTACGTTTTTCACCGGACGGTGAATTATACGCCAGCGGATCCGAGGACGGTACTTTGAGATTATGGCAGACGATAATCGGCAAAACCTACGGACTGTGGCGTTGTATAGAACAGACGCCTGTGATACAAGAAAACGCCACCATGGTGATTAATAAACAAGAAGTTCCTGCCAATTAAATTTAAACCTCTGAAGCAAGAAAATTTCCGGATGTTTATCAAAAGTCCAAAAAAAAAAACCACATTGGACCAAACTTAATCGAATGGATGAACCTCTTGTGAATGAAAGACGTTGAATATTTTTTTATGGGCTATTGTTTGCCGCATAAAATTCCCTGTAAATAATGTATCCTCTTAGAAAGTAGTCGTTGGCCTTCACCGAGGTCTTGTTTTTTTTTTTAAATGAGCAAGACTAAAAGTGAAAAACCAAGATCCGTAAAGGTACATGTGCGCACGATCGCTATTTATATTACAAAAAAAACGACGAAAAAAAAAAAGAAATTAACATTTATTAACATTATACATTTCACATTATTATAATACAAAATTACATAGAGATGTAATAAGAGAAAGAAAGACAAGTTCAAAACGAACGTTTTATTTCTATTTTTTATTTCTCTGTGCCGATTCCACCTATCATCAAAACGTGTGAAGTGGCGCCGACACGTGTCGCACAGTACATGACATGGCGCGCGTTCACCCGATATGTCCTGTACGTACCTTTTCGATCCTAGTTTTCGCAGTAACGTAACATTACCACAATATACAACACGATAATTTATCGCGAGTCGTCCATCGTCATTTCTCATTTATGCGCTTATTTAACGCAATATTCCTCGTTTGAAAAGTTACATATCCCGTGCGTTTGTATGTCTTCCTGCTCTCTTTTATTTTTCGACGATGCGATCTCATTTTACTCCGATAAATTAAATTCTTATGCCTTATCATCTATATTTACACGCCGACAGGTACTCTATCTTTTATCTTTCGATAAATATCTTGCATTACATTCAAGACGTGCCCTCTCGCTCTTTCTCCTCTTCCCTTGTATTTTTTTCTTTAAAGTATTGAGCTGGAGCACGACCAACCGGTTATGATATTTTAGGATCGCATTGTCGTACAGTCTCTCAAAAGAAAGAGGCAGTGTGTTTCCTGCATACAATACAATAATCAGTAAACGAGTTACGAGTTTTAAGTCTTCCCATCTCTTGTGACTCAGCCAATAAACTGCGAAAGATCGGGCAGTTTAAAACCGTTGAACGAAGCCGGGGTTGGTGAACTTCTCAAGTTATTCGTGTGTGGCGGAAAGCCGGGAAAACCAGAGCTACTAGGCGTGGTAAATTGTTGTAGTCTCGTGGAAGACTCTGTGGCTGCTAGGACAAAACCACATTGAGCGGTACATACGTCGTCGCGCAAGATTGCTTCTCGAGAAGCTTCTCGTAAAAGTTGGTTGCAATCCGTGACCCTTAACGAAGCACATTGCGTCTGAAAGAAAAAAATGTATGTATGACTTGCACCTCATTAGCGATTAAGATGATGACTCGAATGATAATAAAGTGCTCGATGCTTTGAAGAAAAGAAAAAATTGATATAAAGATCATCGAGCATGTCCTAACAAAACAGATTTAGCGAGGAATCACGTATGTATATATGTATATTATTAACGTAAAACTTTTGGTACAAACATGCGCGATTTGACTTTAAATGATTCTGCTACTATTAATTTTTAATATCTCTTATATTCTCAAAAAGATTCTTTTAAATTCATCATGTTTTTGTTTCATTGTGAATAAATGCATACGGCTAAGTAATGGATAAGCTTTCCTGCTTATCGATTATTGAAATTTAAATTAAAACGAAATTGCGCATACGCATTCTTTCTTTTCATCTGGAAAATATACTTACGCCTTCGGCGGTGCAAACGCAACTGGTGCAAGGTGTGGGAAAGCCAGACTCGCCAACAGCGACGTTTCTCCCCCCAATTTGACAACCGTGTCTGGTCTCTCGCCAGGCAGAAAAGTCCATATGGGGCATGGAGCTACAGGGTACACGCGGATTCAAAAAATTACTGGGTAGATCAAACGCCGCCCTTTGCATATCCATTTGATGATCCATGTTCTCGCACATCACCTTGGTCAAGGTGGTTTTGCGAATTTCTGCCAATTGATGCTCAGTAAAGCGGATATTTGGATCATCCGTCTCGTACCAAAAACGATCGCATTTCCTCGATTGTCTGAATTGAATGGCGATGATGCATGCGAAAGTGGGTCCGACTAGACCGCCTTGAAGTGGTCGTTCACTCATACCACCTGGAAACAGATCGATGTCGTCGACGGAAGCGTATATGCGTTTCATGCGAGCTATCACTTCCGGCGCCATTTCCCTGGACAAATCCTCGAACGTGGTTGCCTTCTTCAAATTACAGAGCGCTCTATAATGATTGTACGATGGTAATCCATGATCGCGGCCGCGATGAATGTTCAGGGCTATTAAATCCACACCAGAATGCGGTATACCATGTTGCTCAAACAGATGATTGGTTACCTCGCCGGTGATAAATTGGTCTAATGTTTCCATCGGTGTGGCCATCAAACCGCATATCATCTCGTCTATCATATTTTCCTGATAAAGCATATCCGGATTAAAAAATCCATCGCGCAATAGAATGGGCGGATCGATGTTTTGGTAGTTGCGGTCCATACGTGGCAAATGTGGTCGTAGCAACGAATGGCCGATCCGGAAGGCCGCGGTGGCAAATTCGTTGAGTACACTAGGATTGCAAGTAGGCGAGTATTCTTTATAGTAACCTTGAGGTAACAATTTTAGACCATACAGGCTAACGGCATTCCATCCGAGGATCCTCGGCAGAAACTCATTATACGTGATATGCTGCAGCATACCACTAAGAATGCGTCGCGTCTCCTGGAATAGCTTCTCACCGTCCCAGTGGAGATTCGTCTGTTAAATAAATAATATATAAAATATTAATGAGAGAAATTTATAATTATTCATCTATATATAATTTTTTTATTTAGTTTTATTATTCTTTGCACATGCATGGTCTTTAATTGGAAATATATTAGCATAATATAAGAGAAAAAAGAAAAAAAGAGGAAATTTACCTGCCGCAAGCCTTCCATAACTCGATTGTGTTCACGCACCCACATAGTGTGCATGACAGCCAATGCCGGCTGCTCCGAAGCGCGGCCGTCACCGCCGATAAAGCAAAAGCCCGACCGGGCTTTGCATTCCGGATGGGTCATCGATTGTGGCAGCAGATCCCTACCGCGTCTCGTATTCACCGTGATGTTCATGCGGCCGTTGAAACCGCGCAGAATGTTACAAATACAAGAATTCTCGCCGTAAACCACCGACGCGTCTAGGAAACCGGTATTCTGGTTCACCTGTTCGCGGGGTCCCAGGTGCTGTTGGCCCGGCAGCGATCTCATTGACGGGAAACACATACGTGCGCCCGACGAAACATTCACGGTAGGATAGAAGTGATCACCCGGCGGCACTGGGAACGGATTGCATTCGGGATGAACGTTGCGTGGCGAATCACACGATCGACAACTGGGAATCGATTCCGCGAAGCCTTTGTGTATGGGTGTCATGGTTAAATCGTGATCCAAAAACTGCGCAAACTGCATCACCATCAACGTGTAGCGATTGTGCAAATTCGAGATATCGGGATGGATTACGGTGGAGATTACTCGAGGATTCGGTAGTGGTGCGCCGGTAACGGAAGTGCTTCTCGGTTTAGAAACGCCATCCTCGTAAGCGGGCGGCAACAGGCGAGCGAAGGTCGTCAACGATTTACCGAGACTGGGACTACGCAGATTGTTGCAATGACCCGATAAAGTCCGATAGGGCGTGGTAGGGTCGCACGGAGAGTCGTCTACGGGACACTGCACCTCCTCGTGATTGGTCGGCTTATGATGATGATTCAGAAAGCCGGAGATGTCAACGTTTTGCAGCAAATCGGAGAATTCGTTTGCGTTGGGAAATCCCAAGACATTCTCCGTATTCTCAAAGACTTGGCGCTTCCTACGTCGAAGATCGTGTATGCTGTTCAAAATTTCGTTGGTGGCCAACTCGTACATGATAGATGAATTAGCAAGTAGCAGAGCGTCTTTGTTAGCCTTGGAAAAACTGGCCGCAGTCCCGGCAGCCGATTTCGGATCGACGACTTTCTGCTCCAGCCAAGCATTGTATTCTAGCTGCTTACGCTCGATTAGCTCTTCCTCCGCTCTCTTCACCGCGGCGGCGAGTACATCTGGACTAATTTCCGGCACGGATCGCGTTGATTCGTACGCGTTCGAGCTTATTAGATTTTGCTGCATCACAGGAAGTGGCAACGATTCCTCGATCCACGCCGCGACACTCAACGATTCGTACTGCTCGCAATTGATTTTGCTATTCAGGTATGGATCCTGTCGGATAAACACTCTCGGCTGTATCCTGCGGATATCCGTGTTGGCACATATAATGCCAGCGAGAGACACCTTCCTGATCTCGGCCAGTTGCGCCGTCGTCAATCCTGACGGTGGAATATCGTTCTCGTACCAGAAGCGATCGGAATTTCTTATCGTCGCAAACTGCTTCTTAAGAAGACACTCGAACGTTGGTCCGACCGCGGCACCAGTGACCGGAGTTTCTAGGATTCCACCCACAATAAGATCCACGTCTTCTGGATTCATGTAAATTCGGCTTAGCAGCTGCGCGTGTTCGAATCGCATTACTCGCTCCAGATTCGTAAAGTTTTCAATCTGCGTTGAGAAGCAAATTTTCAAATAATTACTTAACACACCTATGATTTTATTAGGTTCAAGAACCCCGCACTAATAACCTACATCAAATTGAATATTGGTAAAATCAACCGGTCTTCTCATATATGCTGTCCGTTATTTAGCTTAGATTTGTCCATTATTTATCTTTTAATCGGAATGCCTTAAACTGCACATCTCAAAAATTCAGTCACAATTCGACGGAAAGCCATTTTCCATTGAATTAGTACGGGGTTCTTTATAGTTGAAACTTACCTTAACAGTCTCTCCCAAACAGTCTGTCAGAAATTGAACATATCCAGGTACTCCGTGATCCCGCGCCTCGTGCATGGACCAAACAGCCGCATTCGACGCAGATGCGAAACCGACACGACTGGCCGACGCGGATGCGTGCTCGTCCATGCTGTCTTTTCCATCGGCGCGCGTCCACGCGAGAGCACGCAGAGCTGTCAGAGCCACGGCGTGATAGGTGCCCGCCTTGTTGGACGACGAGTAACCGGTGTAAAAGCCGTTCCCGAGCGGTCTAAGCTCGGGATCGACCAGCGCGGCTTCTCTCAATATCGCCGGTACGTATTCGTTGAAGGTGACGTGCTGCAGCTGCGCGACGACGATGCGACGCGCCTCCAGAAACACTTTCGAATCGTCCCAGTGCACGTTCACCTCCGCCAATTTCTCCGCTACGCGATTGTGCTCGCGTAGGAGAACCTGATGCAGCTGATCGAGCGCGTCCCGATCGGTTTCGTTACATCGTTTGCAGGCGTTCGGATTCACCTTGCCGTCGTCGTACGTTCTCAGCAAATGCAGCTTGTCGTCGGTGACGCCGTAGATCCCGGAACCATCGAGATACGCCGAGACGCCGTTCATCTGCTCTCTCGTCTCGAACTGACAACCGTACACCGTCAAACTTGGTACCGATCGCCAATAGCGTTCGCAACCAAATTTCTCGTCGCGCATCTCGTAGCACTCCGGATGACGCTGCTCGTTCGTGCAACATTTGTCTTCGGGACCCACGGAATGCACCGTAGCAGCGATATCTTGGAGTACCAGCTCCGACCAAACTGCAGAGAGACTCGTCAGACCCTCGTGACTTCCTACCTCTGGAATGGACGTCAAAACACTGGAGATGACGTCGCTCGATGTAGGTAGGCTGTGACTGCTGACGGATTGACGTGGTCTCGAGATACCTGATACAAAAAATGCAAGCGAGTTAGCTTTATTGAAAATTTAGCCTTTTTACAAATGCTTGGCGTCATTCAATTTTATATATACGTATACGCACGTATTTTATGTTTCTTACTTTCATAAGCAATTTGACATTCCTTTCTTAAATTTCTCTTATATCGATATAAAATTAAAATAAAATAGAAATTAATCGTTCGTTAAATAATGGAAAAATTATGAAATATTATAATAAACATCCGTTCACATTTTAAGACTTAAAATTCGTACTAATATACCTAGATACAAAATTTCAGTTGTAATAGGAAACGTATTTTTCGAATAAACAACTTTCATCCTTCGATCACTTAAATTTATTTTATATTTTTGTTCTACTAGCAAGAGCGATTTCTTCTTTAGATAGATAGTGCTACTGAGGAGATCGCGACTCTCTCCTCATAAGAATAAATGATATTAATAACATTTAAATACATTTATATCAATTATTCATACTACATAAGAATGCGAAAAAAGTAAAAAATTAAAGCAAAATAGGATAATTGTCAAGTCCAAATTATTTTATATATTTTTAAGTAAAATATACTATACATATATATCTACTCTTTATTTTTAAATGTATATATACTTTCTTGAAATTATTTGAAATTATTTCGTTGTTTTTAGTTATAAAATGATGTAGTTTTCAACAATTTATATTGATATAAATTATGCAGTTTAAAAGTGATACAAAAGACATTGTTAATTTTTAAAATTAATTTTCTCAAAGATAACATGCATATACATATAAAATACACCCAACACGCAGAGTTATTTCATCCACACAATCAACGACAAGAAGAAATGAAAAATGTTGATAGTCAAAACTTTCTATATAGTCAATAATCACAAACAACTTAAAAATATTACAATTTTTTTGTAAATCAAACAGTAGTCTATTGATTGATAAAATGACAGAAAATTGATAACGCTTCGCGTTTTGTATGCAAGCGCGAGCATGATGATTCATGATGAATGCTACTGACGAGAAGGCGGCTCTTTGTGGGGTCTCGAAAAGTACAATAATGTATGTCAAAATTCTGTGTCATGGTTACGCACAGGCGTCGCTCCTTAATGATCACGCAGTAAGTGTTACACAGTGCCGCAGTTTCTTCCTACACAACACGCGGTCCTTTCATTCGTTATGCGCGCGACTCGAAGACGTTTCGTTCTTGCTCGCAGAATCGGTCACGATGACAGCGTTTATATAAATAAATCATTCTTCTTTTCTTTTCTTTAATCATCGCTCTCATTAGCGAAGAATTCGTCTATTTCGCGAACGTCGAAAGAACATTTGCGAATATATGCGAAGGGAAAAATGTTTGAATAGGTCGCGTGTTTTTCGGTCTCTTATTGTTATTCCTATTTCCGCGTGTTCAAATAGCGACGTAATTTCCGAAAATTATCTTGAATATTTCAAAGAATCAGTTGGGTGTGTTTGTACATACTTGTATAATATTTATAATGTTGTATAAGATGATTCTTTGGAATATCGAAGATATTTCTTCTAGCAATACACGACAAGGCCCATCTTCTCGGATGATCACTCTAGCGTAAAAACGCAATGAAAATTTCCAGAAAGACGTTCAATGACCATTGAGGTATTTTGGGGTCAGTGACGTTGAAAGGCAACCGTCTGGCAACCGAGAAGACCACAGTCACTTTCTTCGGTCTCCTCACTTTTATATTTTCGTTTGGATTCTTTTCCAGGAGATGGGCGCCACAGTTATCCGCCTTTCCCTCTCTTTCTACATGTAGTTAGATATCGTTGAAAGTCCGTTCCCGGATTATTCGAGAGATTGATTTCATTTGTACCCAATTATCGCAAAAACATACCGAGAGACCCAGTTATTAATTGGAGTTGGAAGTACGATATTCTCTTCTGATAATATCGACTTGCGCATATTAACATTGCTAATTGCGGCATATTCCAAGTCTGACTCGGTATATATGCAGAGATATTATACTTGATATTATACACGTTTCATTCATTTATTTTATGTGGCACAAAGCATTTGATTCTATTAATATATTAAGCACTATTGTGTTTTACATATAATACATGCATGAAGGAAGAAACAATAAGGATTAGAACGAGGAAGATCGAAGCGCACGGCGGAGCTAGATGAGAAAAATATGAAAATGAAAGGTAAAAATAAAAATTTTCCGGTAAATAGAAAAGAGAGCCGTAAGTGGATCGCAAATGGCATCCCCAATCATTTGATATTAGAGACCGCAAGTGTTCGCGGGCCTCCGATGTCGCAATTAACTTAGACGAAACGCGAACCAAGTGGGAGGGACCCACTCGCGGAACTCTCTATTTCAACGGAGCCTTCCCGCATGCTAATCCGCATTTTCTAAGGCCCCCAAAGGCTCCGTGTCGGCCGTGCCAACGAGCTCGTCGAAATGGATCTAGGCTCGCTCTCGTGCAACGTTCAAGCTAGCACGCGCGTTCCAATTTTCACTTTCCATTCTCGATACCCGGAGTCACGCAATCGCGGGAATACTATATAGCGATATATAGTATTACAATACAATTGCTTTGTGATCCGATCTCGTAAATATTTCATTCATTTTCATCAAAATGATAAATCATCTTTTGGAACAATGTATCATTATATATGCACGATTATTAATTTGTCTCAACGCATATATATATACACAAATATGCGATGCTCCCGACGTCTTAATATTTATTTTTCCCTCTCAATATAACAATCGTGGAGAAACTCTAATTGTAAATTGAAAGTACTAGAAGCATACAATAATGATTCTGTGAATAGATGCCTTCTAAATATTAATTAACTGTCATTTGTGCATGAAAAGAAATTTCAAAGATTTAAAAATGTTATTGAAAAGGCTGTATTTAAATTGAGACTTAACATCATGTGTGTGCGAAAGGACGTTGCAGCTTTAGAGGAAGGCCGCGTTAAAAGACCGAGTATAATAATAGAGATGTATAATAATTAGTCATAGGACCGAAAAGAAAATCGTATTTACAATATTACAGACATGCATTCATCGATTTCATTTCCTTCAAGTAATTAATCCGTTAATGTTAATTAATTTTCTATAGTTCTTTATTTTCTTTATTTTATATTTTTCTTTTTATAGAAACTTCACTTTTATTATCCACTTGACAATCGTGCTCTGAGAATTTGAACACCAAAAACTAGTGTTTCATCAATTTAATGTTAAATTAATACGTCAACTATTCATCTATTGATAATTATCAAACACACACACACACACACACACACACACAAGTGATGACATTTAACATGAATTTGAAGCAAACTGTTGATAAAAATATGACCGTGCTTTCCTTACCATCCGAATACGCTGACGGCAGTAATTTGAGGAACGGTGAACCTCTAGCACCCCAAGCAGGATGTCTCACGTTATTGCAAGCACCCGAGGGTGTTCTGTACTTGCTTGGAGGACACGGTCTTTCCGATCGAATTCTGCAAGCCGTGTTGACTGCCTGTATCCTATTAGCACGCCTAGAAAGAAAACAAAATCGCGCCATTCAGCAACTTCTCGATAAATAATCAAACGATATAATCGAATGTATCAAAATTTCTTTTTGAAAAATTAAAATACTTGGGACATAACATCGTGGACACGTATACTCTATAATAAATCATACAAAAATATTATTAACGAGTCATGTAACAACGCGCATATTAAAGTCCATTACTACTGAAAATATTAAATTACTTATACCTAATTGGGACATTATATACAATTGTATCAATTTTTTTCTGAATAATAATTTTTGTCAACATAATATATGTATATACATTCTTTTTTCCCTTTTCTCTTTATTTCCATCATCGCAATGCTACGTCTGCAATTGAAATTATTTCCTGGATTGTGCAATGAGAAAAAAAAGATATAATGCATATTTTGCAGCAGAGTCATCGCTACTTTGATAACGGAATAAAAATCAATGAAATTAGCAAAATGCGGCAAATTTTGTATATTTATGCATGAGAAATAAAACGAGTGTTGATATATATTTTTGTTCACCGTTATACAATCACTAACAATTGAAATTTGTCATTTGACAGCGTAAGACGTAAAATAGCAGGCAAGAAATTTCTCTTTTCCATCTTCCGGGATCCGCGCGATCCGCCCGCGCCCTTCGGTTCGATGTAGAGGAACGCAATCCTGCTAGAAGTCGGACGTTCTTCCTGCTCCATTTCCCTCTTTTTTTGCGCGCTCGGCGCGCGCTTTTACTTTCATGGTCGAGGAAAGGTAGGCACCGCGATCAGCGTCGGCATTTCAGTCACGAGGAAGATTTCTCGTACGACCATTGTCGGCACGGCGGTATGTTCATGTTCCCTTTCCTCGACCTCGAGAAGGCTGTCGGTCGTGTGTACGTATAGACATTGCGAGATGCCCTACACCACGACCATAATTACCGTTCGTCATTCTGTCAGACCCATTAAACCATTCCAGCGCGTGCGACAATTGTCGAATCAATAAGCGAGAAACCCGTTTTGTCTCGCTTCAAAAAAGCGGATAAAGCTACTGATGTACGGGTTATTTCCTTTTTTTTTTACTTTGAAACACGCGGTTATTTAGAGACTAACATAATTCTAGACTACTTTTTCAATCAATCGTGAAAAATAACGATTGCGATAGTTTCTCCTTTCGTCTTACATAGTGTTTAAATTGAATTGTATTACTCTCGAAAATAACAGTTCATCTCTCCCGTGCCATATAACGTGGCATTATTCGTACAAAAATTACAGAGAGAAAGATATATATATATACATATATTTGATGGCTTTTTTGTTATTAGCGTTACATCGCTAGCGAGTAAATCGCAAGTATATTATCGCATGAAAAATCATTTTCTTTCCTGAAAATGTTAAAATCTACTCCGATGCTGTTTAATCACGCTAACAATGATTTTGTTCAAATTCTTGAATAAAAAGTCATTATATTAAATTATTATAATATCAACATGTGCTACCTCGTTTATCTTACAGAAAAAATATTCGATATTTTACATTTTACGCATCGTTTACGATGCCAACAGGTGTCATTCTCGGAATTGTGCCTTCATCTGCATTCTTGATAATTTCATATTATATGCGAATGTCAGGTGTGTGCGTGTATGTGTGTACGTGCGCTAATTGCTGTTAATTATGCAAACTGTTTGCGCGCCAACTGTCTGACTAATTTCTGTAAATATCACTGAGGTATATGAATATTATTGAATATTATTAAATTATATATTTTTACGTTTTTCAAAATTTTTATAAAGTTTTTTCTCTCTTTTCCTTTCTCTTGATTTCTCTCATTCTACAAAGGACACTTCGAACGAATTCGAAGGACATGTTTTTGTAAAAATCAATATACTCTTCGATATTTAACATGACGCAAAGTACACATTTATCACACACATTTATACTCATTATCATTTATATTGTAATTACATATTTACCTCGTATAATTACCGAAATCATTCGCAAAGTTCCAATGTATATTTACTCTTACAAATTATTTCATCACTTGGCAAATATATATACATATTTGTACGTAATATTATGGTTTAAACTGATTTAATATTTTAATATTCCAATAATAAATATTCAATCTTCTATAAAGGTGTATATGTGAAGGAATCATGTGTCAGATGTAATGTATAAATATCTTTTTATAAAACTGTTGTTGCGTTAATACACACACATTATAAGTATTCTATTCAGATTGCAAATGTTGTTGATTTACAAATCTCAGAGATTTAGAAAAAAAGTGATATCGCAGTATTAATGAAGATATTTTTATAATCCTTCTTCTCTAATGCGACGTCTTGCATAAATTATAGAGAAATTACATTCGGTTAAAAGACAAACATCCTTTTTTGCGAATCAGAAAATCAATTTCTCATCAATTATAGATGATCGAGAGAGAAATCTGTCTGTCCTTGACGCTTACAATGGCATCTTTTTTTTCTTTCTCGGTTCGATCGTGACCCAACTTCATTATACATTCGGCGGCGCTTGCTTCGACCTTCGAAATTCCTTCTATCGTGAATTTTATATTGAAATAGGTGGATTATATAAAGACCACTTTTGCGAAATTTTGCATCGACATAACTACGTGAAAGTGAAGCAAATCGTATTATATATACATTGTTAACCGACATGACTTGAGACTATACGCGCGCACGCGTTTCCTTTTCACTTTTAATCAAATTTGTCAATGATATTAATAACATTTGACAATGATCTCTCTGCAAACATCTATTTTCTGAATAACTTACGATCGATAGGTAAATCTCTCCGCTTCGATGGCCGAACGCGCTCTCGCTTGTAAATCATGATCTATTCCGTAGATGTACTCTGTAAGCAAAAGTATATACAAATTGTTACGAATCTTTAATTTACGTATATGAGAATCAAGAATCATAGAAATTGCCCTTTACATGTTAATACTAAATTTGTCAAATTGATTACATTTTGAAATTTAATAATTATATCTTATACAATTTTGAAATTTGATTCTTTCGGCAATAATATTCTTAAAACTAAAGGTATTAAAATATTACTAACGGTGCAATTGTTTCTTTTGTGAAAGAAATTCAAAAAATTAAAAGTTTGTAACGGCATATATTTATTTTGCCTATACTTATATGTATTTGAAATAACAGAATTAGAAATAAAAAATCCTTGACATACATTTTGCAAGTACATATTGCTTCATAATTGTCATTAATTGCCAAATCAACGCGAGAAAAGCAAGATAAAAAGGTTAAGGAAAAATAGCACGTTTGGTGTAAAAATAAATAATCATTATGTATGCTTATTGAAATCTTGAAGAATTTCCTCCGTTTTAATTCTTCACGTAACACACAACATTATGACGTTACGTCGATTCGAATATTTTCTATGTCGATTTTACGTGAGAGCAGTTTCACTATTGTTCTACGTTTCCTTTAAATTTGTAATCCAACTAGTTTCCTTCGTTACATAATGAGCATTTCGACAATATACTCCCGGATGAATGATGAAAACAAAACGTCGATACGGTCATATTTAAGAAACACACACGCATTAATCTTGTGCATCTATTGTTTTTCGATTTCGACGATTTTTTTCTTCTTTCATGAAATTACATAAAGTACATCAAGAATCGATTTAAAAAATCACACGTTATAATTGTTAATCGAGTGATTCCTTTGACATTTGACAATTTATTTTAAATCGACTTGATAGATATACATCTAGGAAAGAATTAAAGAAAAATTTTCAAAGAATTATGAGATTATTTAGCATGTGTTTTCTCATAAAACGCTTCTGTTAAAAAGTGACTAATTAATTCACGTAATTATCAAAAACAATACTAATAATCAATTTTCCTCTTAATAATTGTAAGCATTTCTTTTTGTTAAATGTATGCATTTTCTTACTAAAATAATATTATAAGTATATTCTTTTGTGTGTGTGTGTGTGTAAGTAAAGCATTTATGTGTAAAATATTTATTTTATCTTATTTATTATATTTAATCTATTTTATGTTATTTTCTTTTTCTGTCAAATAGTTTAATGTATTTCGGCGTTAAAATATTAAATTTTTTGCACACAAATATATTCTATAATTAAATTCAAAAAATTACTCACACGGAAAAAAACATATGTCTATCTTTTCTAAAGAATATTCGCAATACATTAAATTTTCATATAAGAATATGTACAAAATATCAAAATTGAAAAGACTATTGTAATTATTTGATTAGAAACACATCTAATAAATTGTATTTTTCTTTAATCGAGTTATCGCATATACATACCTATATTCACTGTAACACAATTATTTATATACTGTTTTATATCAAGATAAACTATATCCTGCGGAACGATCTGGTTTAATTCTCTCGATAAATGCAATAGCACAACAAACAAAATGTCATTGAAAAGAAAGATTTGCATTCTTTTTTAATAAAATAATTTCTATAAAATAATTTATGAAGGTATTGAAATGAATTAAGAACATTACATTATTAGTGATGATGTATTTCCCTAGCAAAATTGAGTCGCAAAAAATTAATAACATCTCGGTAAAAAAACGCATAAAGTGGAAAAGTAATGTATATATTGTGTGTGCAAAGTGTTGTTGTTTTTTTTTGTATCGGATGCGCTTACCGGAAATGTCGAATTGATTGACTGTTGATAATATTGCTGGTATCACAATGCTCAGCAGTACCAGGCTGCTTCTGAAACCAAAATAAAATCGCATCATTTTTTAAATTTTATTTTAATTTATAAAGGGTGATTATTAATTATAAATTAATTAATTAAACTAATACAACAAAATAATGTATAAATAACTTGAGAGAGAGGGAGAGAGAGAGAACGTGAGAGCGAGAGATTAAAACATCTTCTAAATATAATATCAAAATATATTATTGAAATTTACGTTAAAAAGAATATCATCAACTTTAAAGTAGATGTTATAAGCTAGCAATTAATGAATTAATTCAACTTTCTAAAGAGATATTAAAACATATAAAATGCGCGTAAATAAAGATGTCTGTACTATTAGTCTACATAATTATCAATCTGGAAAGAATAATTTATAGTGATATAAAGTGCAATTTAAATTAATTAAGACAATTATTTGCTCACTCATAACATTGCGTATTATGCAATTCTGACGAATCTATATCATGGAACATGATTAATCTAGCACATTTTACATGTAATCGATTAAGAATTACAAATAAGATATTTTATTGGATATATTACAAATAAAAATGAAAGAATCTTATTAAAATTGCAATTTCTACTTAAGAAATGTAGTTGAATATGTAAATAATGATATCATCAAAAATACGGAAAAAAATTGTGATGTAATACATTTTAAAGAGAAAAAAATTATATTCAAAACATAAAAAACCCTACAAGAAATGATTAGTCTCTCTTTCTTGAATTTGAAAATAAAAAGAATTTTTTATTGAACTGTGTAATTGTAAATGGTAATCTAAAATTGAAAGTTCATAAAGCAACTTTATTTTTTTTTTTTTTTATAATGACAGTATAGTCTCATCTAACGGATTATTTCGATTAAACAGCAAAAGAAAAAATATGAGCATAAAGACTGAAATTGTTAAATAAATTTTCGAAAATTTCAACGTATGACATTGCAAATACTTCCGAGTAGTCGTGTACTTTCTCTGAGAGAGATAAAAGAGAAAAAAAGACGTTCTTGAATGCGGGAATCCGCTTACTCGCTTTGTGACCGGTCTTTAATTCCGGTCTCTTATTACACACTAAGCGTTGATTTTTACTTTCATATGACTCTAGATTGCTTTAATCAATCATACATTTCATACAGAAACTAAAATAAAAATTATGACACCGGATCTAATATAATCTCCAAGTGATCTCCATCAACGATATACATATATTTCATAGAAACAAAATGTAATAAGATCTCTATGATCCCTAATGATAAATGATTGTGATACTTTTATCAAATATAGGTACACCAAAAAATATGTATGCATTAAGATCGATTTGTTTTTTTTTTTTTTAATGTAGGGTAAGAATAATTAATCCAATTAAGATTCTTATTATTTCTGAATATAAAATTTAATGATTTAAAATATAAAATCTAAACAATGTATATGCGTAGAAAAGATATTGATATTTACATATATGAGAAAATCTCTTAAGTCAAGTATGTAACCGGGTCAAGTTCGATAAATTATTATCGATTCATTTATGTGGAAAACACATACTTGATATATTTTTTCTAAAAATATATGGTCTGCTTCTAGAGCAACAAGTATGAGTATAAGATTTTGAAATATAGCTCGGGAAAAATATTAGGCGTATGAAGACGATGATGAGTTCGGATGAGAATCGCTGGCTCTCTCGCCACTTTCAACAATATAATATACCTAAGTGAATGGACACGTTAGTGCCTTTAGTGCCCGATGGGCATTTGCGGGCCAATCAAAATCACACCACAAGTTAGACATCCAGGAACAAGTTGGAGTTTCCCGAATGCCAGGCTAAGGTACTTCGCGCACGCTTCCTCCTTTCGGTATCCGCGTGCTTGTAAGCCGGTGAGTAAACCGAAGAGAGAGTAGCCACTACCACTGCCTACATCAAATACCTTTTTCTTCTTTCAAACATACATTTTTCTTACATACATAAATATATCTCGAAAATTTGCAAGCGTAATAATATCGATGAAAACTGTGCACTATGAAAGAAAAACTATGTTAAATTACATAAATAATAAGTGTATAATTGCAATTCAAATGTATATGTATTTTTATTATTTATCATGTAATTTTACGCATAGGTATATTTATGTAATCTATTACATATTCTTTTGCAGTGTGAAATATTAATAAACGAGTTATTTATATCAACTATCGTCATAATTTTGAGAATAATGAAATAAGAAATTTGAATGTGCATTTAATGTTACATTAACCTGATCCCACTGAATCTGTACAGAAAAAAAAATATGAAAACATTTGTTAAAATATATATATTTTCGATTTGTGAAATCGTCATTGCACTTGGCTTATTTGTGTCTAATAATGAATGATTGTACACAAGATACACGCGAGATTGTCGAGATAAAAGCAGGTACAGACAGCTGCTTCTCGCTGCGTGGCGCACAAGAAGACTCGCGCGCGCGCGAGTACACAGCGATAATTCAGTGTCAGTGGGTCAACGGAAACTGGAGAAATCTTTCTCGGGATCCGATATATGAACACGCGTCCTCGAGATCTCGCGCCTCGGGCGGTGGCGGTCGTGTCTCCGAAAAATATCGCTCCAAGGGACACCTGTTGTGTCGATAGCTCGAGCATCATCGAGCAAAATCCAATCTCACTTATTGTTGCCAAGTCTATTATAACAATTCTTCCATTTTAATTATGTCTACAGAAATATATCCTTGTTCCGTTTCTGCGCTCAAAATATCAGACATAATTCAAGAAAAGAAATAAGAAAGCACATGTAATATGTATTATAAATACCATTTTTTTCTCTATAAATATAATACCTACTAATGTTGCAATAAAATGTAATAAAAAATCAATATATATATTGCAATATAATTCTGCTAAATTATCTGACAAACATCAATCAAAGATGTAAAACAATGAAACAGAATGTCATGAATGAATGTAATAAGTTGAAATTCCTTCGGGCGATAAGTAACAAATAACGAGATTCTCAAGGAAGTGTAAGCGAGTGAAAGTGCTTAGGACATTCGCCTAGAGATTCATTCTAGCGGCACGTTTGCTCCATGAGAAAAGAAGCTGCTGCCTATCTAGTATAAATACATGATACGGTTCTTGCACAATATCGAAGGTTGCCAGCACTCTTGCATGACACTATGTAAAATCATGATATTCGTATATTACGACACTCATATCTGATTAAAATATGCAATCAAATGTACTTAGGGGTTTTCGCTTTTTTCAACGAAAACGAAATCCGAAAATTGAAGATTAAACAATTTTGAATCCGAGTCGAAGATTAGAGTTTCAAACTATATAGCCTATAGAACGAGAAATGCTTAATATATTATTTATATAAAAAGTAAGATATAATTTATAAAGAATAAATTAAATTTGCACGTTCATTTTTTGCAAAGAATTTTAAAATTCTACATTCTACATTTTGCTAATTCCAAAAATATTTATTATATTTAAAAAGTTTGAAAATTTAGAAGAAAATCAAAAAAGATAAAACATGTAAAGAAAAAATACTTTGTCAGCTTTTGTTGGATAACGAGAAGATGACGTTTTAATAGAGACTTATTGCGCACTGAGGATTCAATCGATTAAAATTGTTAAACAATCGGTACGTGATTGTTATGCAAATCAAGATAGCACTCACGGCGGAAAACATTCCGAAATAAATGTTTTTCATCTTACAACATTGATATCATTCTTTCCTCCCTCCACTCGTCTCTCTTTTTCTCTCAAGCTTCTCTATTTTATTACAATCTAATTTAATCATCACGAGAAAAATATATTTACAAAGACTATTTGTGCGAAATCGTTAGCAGTAGTGATTTCTATATTCCGTTAGTGAGCGACTAATGAATAATGTACAATAGATGAAATTAAATGAAAAGAGAAAAATATGACATAAATCTTGGTTTATTAGTTTTATAGTGATTTTGCCGAGAACACAATTATTTATCTACTAAAATAATTTCTCTCTGCACTAAACTTTCTCCATTAAAATAATTTAAAATGCCAGTAAGTGACAATTATTCCGCGTAACAAAAAGATTTATTTCGTATTCCGCTCTTTTTATGCACCGCTCTCTATACAGGCTTCATTGCCATTACATACTCATTAACAGAAATGTAAATGTCATGCACATGCAAAAATGCAAAATGTAATACAAATATTCAATTATCACAACACACAATGTGCGTGTAATTTTCCTATATTTATATAAATAAAATCAAATAATAATTTAAAAAATAATTTCTCGATTCATCGATGTACTCACGCAATAAATGATAGTATAAAATCAATAATGGCTTTTTAATATTAATGATAAACTAATTTGCGGGAAAAAAAAGAGAGATAAGATGTTACATGAAAAATAAAAATTCCGTACACATTGGCACGTCCGGAAGCTTAATTAACGAATGGGAAAAAATGAAAATGGTAAAACAGAAAGTCGCTCTCCTTGACTCGATCGTCGTGTCATCGTTATACTCGCGATTACATTTGCCTGCGTATATCGCGACGATCGGTCACACGTAACAATGATCTAATGATTCGCCATACGCACAAAAGTTCGCGACAGCCTCCTTCTTCATCGCGATTCACTACGTTCCTTTGTTATCGCGCGTGATCGACGCATAAATCCTGTCACTTCGCAATGCGTTGGAAAGTTCGCGTCGAGTTGCGTCGCGTTGCATATCGGACGGATGTTTAACCGAATGATTAAACGGAGTGACGGAGATCTCGCACCTGCATGTTAAAACTAGAAAATCAATGTTTTTGAATGACGAAAATATAATGTGTCTCACATGTGTATCTATAAATATATTCAAGTTATAGAATATTCATGAAAAGATAATAATTATATATATAGATTGTATGTTATTATATAATATTGCTTTCACACATATCAATATATCGTGTATAGATATTCACGCATATGATAATTTGCGTTGTTCTGCGTGTGGCGCTGACGACATTCATATCATTTAGTTTAATTT